CGAGACAGCTGCATGTTGCCTGAAGCGAGAGAGGTGGACCCCCCACCCAGTAATATATTGGGGTTCTAGTGGGATAATGGAAAAGAAAATGGAAACTACTATAGTATAATAGGGTTTATATTGGGGTTATATAGTAATATCTATAAGGGATAATAGGGATTATATTAGGGTCCTAGTATATTCCTATTATACTACTATTACAGGGTGGGGGGTCCTCCTAACCTAAACCCTCCTCGCATAATTACGCGAGGTGCCCGGTCAGAGCTATAAGGGATTTACCCCAAAGATCGAAAGTTGGGCTACAACGGTTGGACCTGTAGTAAGACACAGCATAATCTTCCCTATGCAAAATCAATCTGATAGTCCGTCAAACCTGAACAGCTCCGGAACCCTGCTAAAATTGACCCACAATCTACAGACCTATATAGTCCCCCTTAAGTAGATAGAATATGGGGTATATTGGGATCTTATTATCATATACCCAAAGCCATATTCTATCTACTTAAGGGGGACTATACCCCCAAAAGGCCTAAAAACCATCAAAACAGCCTGCAGGAAGCCCAGACCGCCGAGGACACAGCTGCAGGCGCAGCTGCAGTTGGGCGTGCCTCATGGGCTCCACCACATGCGGAGGGAGGGGGATTCTTCAACATTGGGGTAGTGTGGGGGATTCCTGCAGAGGGATGATATAAGTAGTGGGATTTCAGGGTACCGGGAAAGAAAACTGCCTGTTGTCTTTTTCAGAGCTAAGGGATTTGGGGTGCAGAGGGCCACAGGCGAGGTCAAGGTCGAGAGGGTGTCGGGTGTAGGGTCTCTGTGGTTTACAATTGTGCGCGCAGAGCCTCTTTCAACTGCTCTCCTCTTGCCATCACTGTCGTGGGCAATGGCCTAGCTGACCCTGAGTGAGGTGTGACTTTCACACTCGGCTTTGAAGGTCCTGATTTCGTTAAGTTGCATGCCAGGGCTTCTGCGCTGGCGTTCTTGGTGGCCACTGGCCTTCTGTACATGCTTTACAATACTCTTGACATCATCCTAACAAGCTTGAAATGTTTTGGGGAAGGCAACTCGCCTCAAGAAACGGCAGGATGCGGTGTGCAAACCTGCTGCCTCTACATGTCCCGACTCAGTTCGCATCCGCGACGTACTGCGCAAAGCACTCGCTCTCTTCCCGAACGCAGCTGGTGAACAGCTGGCAATCACCAAATGTGCCACAGGGGCTCCTGGCATCGTTGAAATTGTAGACGATGCAGCCAGGCGTGTTGTCACATGCACTGCGGCATTCGCTGGAGGAGCCCACCATGAGAGCTGAAAGCCTGTAGGAAGACTCCAGCCTGCATCCGATTCGACCGGCATAGGTGTAGCTTGTGCGGGAAGGCGCTAAGCATTCCAGGTAGTAGTCCTTGCCCTTGAAGCTGTAGCAGTTGCCACTGTTTGGTGAGCAGAAAGCAGACCCACTGCATGAATTGCAGCAATTGCTGTTGCTGTTGCCGTTGTTGTTGCCACCGCTTCTGCATTCAAGGTAGTAGTTCTTGCCCTTCTGGTCGTAGCAGGTGCCACTCTGGGGTGAGCAAAAGGAGGTGCCGCAGCCGCTGCAGCACCCTGAGTGTGCCCAGCTGGCTCCAAGCAGAGATTTCTCTGCGCTGGTGGAGGCAGTGCCGTTGCGCCCTGTGCCGCGAAAGTTGGATGGTGCCGCTGCAGCACCACAGATCAGTGCGAGAAAAAACGAGACACGAGCCATGGTATCGCGGCGCGAAGTTTGCGCAGCTAAGGACGCTTGTCGAACCAAAACAAACCTTGCGAGCTGGTGATGTTCTGCATGCAGTATACTTGTAAGCATTGTGCTGCACAGGGCCTCCTTCAACTCCTTTCCTCTTGCCATCACTTCGCAGGTCACATGCAGTTCAGTTTAGTACAACATGTGTTTGAAAGTGAACAGTAATTTGGAACCCACAACTTGCGGACAAGACACCTCGAGGCGATCACAAATCCGAGCAAGCAACTCCTGGAGAGGACATGGTGGAGCCTCTCAACATTGTGCGTCCCCATGGCAGAGCACAGTGTTTCTAACATATGTTTGTACTCTGCTTCCCTCTTTCAGCCGTATATTTTTTAATCTTTTGCAAGATGAGGGGGGTGGCTTTAACATATGTGCGTAACTGGTTCTCCCCCTTTCAACTGTCATGTCTTCCTACATGAGCAGCTGACAAAAGTTCTTATGTAAACCATGGTCAAAAGTCCCATACTCGTTCTGCAATCTCGTTTGATCTCGTTTTACACACTTCCGCGCACGTTGGGGGGGACCATCTCGTTTTACTAGGCTGGGAGCT